GCCACCACTGAGAGAGAACGTCGGAGGGACCGGGTCGACAAAGTTCTGCCCAAGCTCCTACGAAAAAGGATAAAACACCGAGACAAAGAAAAGCTAAGCAAGAACGGATGCGGCAAGAGTGCATAAAGTACTCAAACAAAAAGATAGATAACTCACAGCTGGGGGCGGGTTGTTGGCTGAGAACTCGGAGACAGCAGGAGGAATGACGCTCACTCCTTTCAGCATCTTCTAGAGACGCTCGAGTACCTCCTCACCGGTCAGCTCAAGAGCTGGGACCATGCGTGAAGGATCCTCGGCCCCAGAATACTCAAAGCCAAGATGCTCCTGCTCTTTCAAAGGCTGAACCCGGCGACGGAGAAAGCTCAAGACAATACCAAAGCCGGTCATGCCCTGCTGTTTCAGCATGCTAATCCTATCAAAGAGTGGCTGGATCACTTGAATCTCAGCAGGTGACTCAAGCTTCTTGTCCCATCGGTCATTTACCACAGGACCAGATCCGGAATGGACGACAAGGGAAGGGATCAAATTGGCGGCATAAAACCACTTCAAGACGCCAATCTTTTACGAATCGACCAGGTCATAGTCAAAAACTTAATTTTGAGACCTCAAGCGAAATCTGAATCCCAAGAACCGCCAAGAACGCTGGTTTTTCTTCGGTGGGGTTGAGGTTTCGAGACGAAAGAAAAGCGAAAAGAGACAGAGAAGGAGGATTCCAAGGAAAGCTTCGCAAAGATGAACAAAAAGCAGAAAAGATGGAGAACGACATTGGGGGTTAGGTGGTTCGGACTAACCCCAAATAACCAAGAAACCGATGAAGGAAAGCGGAAGCGAAAAGGCAAAGTCCGGCGTGGACAAAGGAAACGAAGAGGACAATCTCACTAGGACCCGGAGTCGAACCCGATGCTCGCCTTTAACTCTCCATTCAGCGATGACTTTGTGTTGGATCAAGCCATCGCTAACGAGCTCATGGCACTGGTCTTCGCTTGTTGTTGGAGCCGACCAAACCTTCCGAGCAGCCCTCATAGCCACGAACTCCTAATTTTCGATCAAAGAAAGGGATGACTCCTCGTCATGAAGGTCGCCGAGACTTGCTTGCGGTTTTCTTCTTCTTTCCATGAACTCAAGAAGCAAAAAAGGCACTAAGGAAGATGAAGCTAGGATGATGGTGCTCGGGTGACGGCGCGACGATGACGGCGGCGATTTCTAAAAAGCTAAGGTTTAAAAGGCAAGAGTCAAGCAAAGCAAGAAAAGGAAGATAAAGGGTCTTTAAATAGATTTTTTCAAGTGATACAAATGGCCCACAAGGCCCGATAAAACACAATGTGGGGAACGCATAGCGGTCCATTTACCGACGCAATGACTAAAACGACGGAGGACACAAATCCACACAACGGTATAAACCAACGGGTAGATTTCAAACTTATCCGTCCAAAGACCACGGCAGGGTTATCGATCCCTACAAGAACAACCCGTCAAACCAAGAAGAAAGAAAGAAGAAAGAAAGGGCTACCTCACAAGGAACAAAAGAACCCGGTTATTTAAGAAAGAACTCGGTAATCTCATGAACAACAGGGGATCACAATGTAAAAGTAAAAGACAACTCGTAAGACAAGATTCGTTACATTACAAGCGACTTCAAAAATAGAAGATTACAAATCTTAAAGACAAGATTCGTTACATTACAAGCGACTTCAAAAATAGAAGATTACAAATCTTACAAGACCCAACGAACTTGGCACCACGAAAAAAAGCAAGGTAGCAAAGAGGAACGCGGACACGGCTAGGCTCGAAGCGACTACGTGTCCCAAATTGCTACTCGGAAGGACAAACCGCCATCGCCTACACTATTTTCTTCAAAGGATGGACGCAGAGGCACCCAAGGCGTAAAAATCGGCAAAGACGGCAAGACAACATGGAGCGAGAGAAGGCGGCGGGCATCTGTCTACCCAAGACCGATGTGATGTCATGCATATGGTGTTGATCTCATGCGACGGTCCTCAAGACAAAGCGACGAGGATCAACCCGTAATCGCCAGATGAAGAAACGAAGCCCACATCACAAGACTTCCTCCAACTACCACCACGTATATCCCGGCACAATCTTTGTCATGGGATTAGCCTACCTCTAATCCCTATCACAAGACTTCCTCCAGCTACGACGACAAGACACACAGGAACTACAAAATATGCCCGGGGTCTGCTCTACTTCACAAACTACCATGTTCATGACCACGAAAGTTTCAACAGAATATCCAATAGATGAAAACAAGCACTCGGGACAAGTATTTATAGACCAAAGGAGCGGCGCACATGGACTAGGAGTACCAACGAAATAAGCCTAACAAAGGACACAAAGTGAAAAGACAGACTCAATAATGGATGACTCAAAGTAGAGAAAGCGATACTTTTAAGACGGGCATATTCGGAAGAATATACCAGCACAGTACAACCCGTGAACAAAAGGCGTTTACACTCAACCACCACCATACAACTACATCTGACAACAGCAGACTATCAAAGAATACGCCAAGACCTCGCATCCGAGTTCTTTCTGAACGAAACAACACGGATATATGCTCGGGGGCTCGGCTAGCATCATAGCTTAATCAACACTAAGCTAGGGAGCTCGACCTTCATTTCAACTACTCCCGGAGGCTTGGAATCAAAGACAAAGGACCAAGAATACAAGAAACTCAAGATGACTTCTTTTCTAAAGAGAAGAACTCGGAGAAAGCACGGGGCTACGGGATACATAGCCCTAGAATTTTTTGAAGACAAGAATTCACCCAAAAAGAACCCGGACATAGGCTCGGAGGCTGCATGCCATGAAACTACTCGGATGATGGTTTAATTCAAGACTAAAGGGCCGCTTCGGAAAGATGCCACAAAAACTACTCGGATGATGACATAATTCAAGTCTCGGGGACTACTTCAGAACACAAATTTTCAAACAACATAAAGGATCAAGACCCTCCAACTTTTTGTTCCAAATAGCAAGAGGCTCGGGGGCTACACTCAGTGAGTGCACTTTTTCTTCGAAAAAGCGCACGTCACCAAAAGACTTCCTCAACGCAGACCACTTCAAGACATTACGACAAAAAGAACCCGGAACGAGCCATATTCGAGTTCTTTTTGACAAAACTTCAACAAAAAATCAGAGCAACTTCAAAACAAGATCCTCCAGCTCCTTGTTCCAAATAGCAAGAGGCTCGAGGGCTACAACCAGATGGATGTACTTTTTCTTCACAAAACACTCACAACTCGAAGGTCCCAAGAAGCGCTACAAGGTTTCACTCCAGAAAGCACTCGGATAACATTTTGTTCCTACCTAACAAGACTTGAAGGAGCAAAGCGAGACTTTCAGAGCTCAACCATGAAGTGCTCGGGGGCTTGTCGATGCGGGACCCACAGGATACCCCGCAAGGGAGAGAGAAGATCTAGTTCAACTAGAATTCTTCCCATATAATCTTAGTAATAGAACTATTAAGTAATCCTACTAGAAAATCTCATTGTAAACCGACTAGGACTCTGGCCTCCTAACTATATAAAGGAGGGCAGGGCTCCTGAGAGAGGAGGACAATTGTACAACATAACACTTCATAATCAATCCAACGCAAAGGCCAACTGGACGTAGGGTCGTTACTCGATCTACGATCGAGGGCCTGAACTAGGATAAATCGACTGTCTCTTGCGTTTACCATCGAGTTCAGCATACGCCGAAGCCCGAACATACTGCCCCGAATACCCCCGTGGCAGGCTATCGGTGGTGAAACATCGACAAGTACATACTTGCATGAGTATAACCCTGACCAGTGGCGGAGCGTGGCATAAGAATGGGGGGAGGGGCGAAGCTAGATAGAAGCTAGTAGGTGCAAATGCACCACCCAAAATTTGTGAAAACAATGGCTTTTTCTAAAATTTTATCATATTTGCACCACCTATAGCATAAGGCTATGCACCCACGAGGCAAGTGCACTATCTTCTAATTTGCTCTAGCTTCGCACCTTGGGGGGCAAATTGATCTTTGCAGTGTCAAATCCTGATGAAAAATTAAATAGGCATGCAGATCAACCTGCTAAGAATTTACGGTCATTGAATTCCTATCAGAAAGGGGGTGAAAGCCCGGTTTCGCCGCCACTACCCTCCACCCCTAACCCTGACCGACTCCTAGAAATTCCACCAACATTGTTAACGTTGTTGATAAACCCGAGTTTTGCTACTTATTGAAGCATAAATCATGACGAATAAGTCTAATGTAAACACTTGAACAACAAGTTTGACTACCTTAGTTTGACTTGTTGTGGCTTTAAATTAAATTAGCAAAACTAAGTAGGAATCGACCGAGTGATGCATGTATGCGTGGTGGATTGGTTTTTGCAACAAATTGAGCAGAGGCGAGGAAAGCATTTGCAACAAAACAAAGTACGGATTTTTTTCAAAACTCCAAGGTTTTTGAATTTGTTTGTTTTCTACAAAAATGAAGCCAATGGCGTTTTCTGGAGTACCTGTGGTCCTGTGGACTTACTTGTGGTTGCAGTCGGCACTCACGTGAAAGAAACTAGAAGACACGCCACCGGTTGCTGCGAGGACTGTGAAGAATTTTTGAATAAAATTAAGTGAAGATAATGTGTATAGGTTGCATTAAAATATTAAAAGTTAGTGACATGACATTGCTATTGGTAGAAGATGATGTGGACAGCTAGTGGGAGATGACGTAGATAAATTATATTAAAAAGTTGAAGTTAGCGACATGACGTGGCTTTAGTGAAAAATGATGTGGATAGCTATTGGTAGATGATGTGGATAGCTATGGATAGATATGTTGTGCATGTCTTACATGTTGTAATCTTGGATAGAACATGTTTTTGAGGATTAGCTTTACAAGATATATATTGATCGATATATAGATTTTTTTTAGCAGGGATCGATATTAGATTTTGGACAGAGGATATTTTGCTTCCCGTGGCGGCCCATCGGTTGGGGTTGGGAAGCCGAAGCAAGATGGCCCACGCGCGGGCGCGGCCGCGCCCACGTCAGCACATCCAAGTCCTCGTCGCCGCCGCCATGCTTCTCCTTTCCTCCGCCCTCTTCACCACCGCACGCTTCCCACTCGCCGTCTCCGCCCGCCTCCCAAACCCTACCACCACCACTCGCCTCCTCCTCTTCGCCGGCCTCCCTTCCTCCTCCCCACTCCGCGCCTTCTGCCCCAGGGCGCGGCCCTCGCCCGCCACCTGCGCCGCCTTCTCCTCCACCATGGCCGCCGCCGACAACCCCCTCCTCGTCGCCGACTTCGACTTCCCGCCCTTCGACCGCGTCGAGCCCAGCCACGTCCGCCCCGGCATCCGCGAACTGCTCACGCGACTCGTAAGCCATGCCTTCCTCCATCCCGACTTTCACCACTGGCTCTCCGTCTCTCCCTCTCATCTGTCTGAGATTGGATGGATGGATCCCGAGGTTCTGACGGGGGCTGCTTGATCGCAGGAGGGCGAGCTCGAGGAGCTCGAGAAGGGCGTCGAGCCCACGTGGGGGAAGCTTGTCGAGCCGCTCGAGCGCATCACCGACAGGCTCGAGGTCATCTGGGGCATGGTCGATCACCTCAAGGCTGTTAAGGACTCCGCCGATCTCCGCGCCGCCGTAGAGGAAGTGCAGGTCCACTTGAGTTATCCCTTTTTGCTGTTCGTTTCTCCTCGGTCCTAGCTTCTCACAGTGCGCTGTAGCAAAGCAGCTCACATGGATCACCGCCTGATCGAATTTCTGCTTCGTCTCACAGCCCGACAAAGTCAAGTTCCAACTAAGGCTGGGGCAGAGCAAGCCTATCTATGAAGCTTTCAAGGCCATCAGGAACTCTTCCGATTGGGACAGTCTCAGTGATGCTCGCAAGCGTATAGTCGAAGGTCACCACCTCTGCATATCACACTGAAACCTCTGTCTAGTAGCCATGATAAAATATAACTGATGTCCACTTCCAGTGACCCCATGGGAGAGAACTGAGTGTGGTTCTCCTTTACTAATAGAGTAATAGTTTTTCTTCTTTCCATATGCAGCTCAAATAAAGGAAGCTGTTCTCAGTGGAGTTGCACTTGAGGATGAACAAAGGGAGAAATTTAACCAAATTGAACAAGTAAGCCCAGATTTTGTCACTGTTGTGCCACTTGAATGATCATCCAAATAATCGCTTCCGGTTCGCTTGGTTCTTCTAATCTTTACTGGTGTATGTAACTACGTGAATTAATGGATTGCTAATTTCATTTCAGGAGCTTGAAAAACTGACACAAAAGTTTAGCGAAAATGTGCTGGACGCCACAAAGAAATTTGAGAAATTAATTACTGATAAGAAAGAAATTGAGGGGTTACCTGCTACAGCCCTTGGTTTAGCAGCACAGACTGCTGTGTCAAAGGTATTGCACCGCTACAAAATCTCAGTAGCTGCTTCCTCCATTACTAATCCTATATGCTGATGACAAGCAATATTGTTAGGGCCATGAAAATGCTACAGCTGAAAATGGACCTTGGGTTATCACGTTGGATGCACCAAGCTATATCCCTGTTATGCAACATGCTCAGAACAGAGCGCTCCGGGAAGAAGTTTATCGTGCTTATCTTACCCGTGCCTCTAGCGGTGAACTTGATAACACCAATATCATCTCCCAAGTTCTAAAGTTAAGGCTAGAGAAGGCTAAACTTCTTGGCTACAAGAACTATGCTGAGGTGCTTCTGCTGTTCTTTTTCCTTGACATTAAAACAAGCACGCAATAGTTGTGTTCTAACTAATTGATGATACTTGTGAAGGTAAGCATGGCTCAGAAAATGGCAACTGTTGAGCGAGTAGAAGAGCTTCTCGAGAAGCTGCGTGCTGCTTCCTGGGGTCATGCTGTCAAAGGTACAACCAACTAAATTACTATTCTTCTTCCTATAGGTTTTTTCTTCTGCACAGTGGCAAGGTTGTTTGCTTCCATGCATTTCTTCTTCTGCGTCATTTGCATTATGTAATTTGTATTGAGTTGTTCTCCTCGATGCTATTTTCAACAGATTAAATATATCAAGTTTGTATTCAGGATTCTAGAGATATGCCTATTATTCTATCACCATCTGAATTTTGTATTACTTGTATTGTATTTGCGTTTGAGCCTGTGCACCAAACTTTAGGTTTTCTTTAACCTCTGAGATACCCTAACATGAATATTTCTTATCAGCAATCATTTTCTCTTGTGTAGGGAAAGTAGGCAGAACTTCTTGTTTTTCCCCGCACATATATTAACTGCTGATTTGTGTATTCAGATATGGAAGATCTAAAAATCTTTGCAAAAGATTCTGGTTCTCCTGAAGCTAATGATTTGACTCACTGGGACCTTACCTTCTGGAGTGAACGACTGAGAGAGTCTAAATATGATATCAATGAGGTTTGTTTTCTGTTTTGCTTCATTTAAGTATCTCAATAGTTTTAGCCGCAAGCTGCTAAGTTTCTTTTATTGTTCTCAGTAGTTTGTCCCTTTTCTTTATTGATGTTCCACTGTATTCCATTTTGTCTTAGGTCCTCAGGGGCATATGTATTTCAAATACTTTGATACTCATACACTGAAGTGCCACTAAATGTTCTCTCATTGAAAGAAACACATGGTAACGACTGACCAATGAGCTTATTTGAACACTGCCATTGCAGGAAGAGCTGCGCCCTTATTTTGCACTACCCAAGGTTATGGATGGCCTCTTCACTCTGGCACATAAGCTTTTTGGAGTTACTGTTGAACCTGCAGATGGGCTGGCTCCTGTAAGTACTGATTCACTTTTCTTCACATGATACAAATTCTGCAATTGTTGACAAGTGACTACCTTTTCAGGTCTGGCACAGTGATGTCAAATTTTATTGTGTCAAAGACTCTTCCAATAGCCCTGTTGCTTACTTTTACTTCGATCCTTATTCAAGACCATCTGAAAAGCGCGGAGGGGCTTGGATGAATGTGGTCTTTTCTCGAAGTCGCGTGCTAGCTCGCAATGGTTTGGCTGCTAGGCTTCCTGTTGCCCATATGGTGTGCAATCAGACTCCACCAGTTGGTGATAAGCCCAGTCTTATGACCTTCCGTGAGGTAAGTAATACATCTGTGACATGTGAATAAGGATATCTGGAGAAAGCAGTAGCTCTCTCCTTATTATGGTAGTATAAATAAAGAAGTGTAAATTGTGTTGCATGTTGCCTGTAGGTTGAAACTGTGTTCCATGAATTTGGTCACGCCCTTCAGCATATGCTTACTAAACAAGATGAAGGCTTTGTTGCTGGTATTCGTGGAGTTGAATGGGATGCTGTAGAGTTACCCTCCCAATTCATGGAGAACTGGTGTTATCACAAGTATGATTGGTCCATACCAGTTGGTTTTTAGCTTGAATCTCTCTCATTTTTTTATTATAACTTATCTCTTGCGTGTCTGTAACAGGAATACTCTTTTGAGCATTGCAAAGCATTACGAAAACGGTGAAACTCTTCCAGAGGAAATTTATGCGAAGCTTGTAGCTGCAAAGAATTTCCGTGCTGGCACCTTCAGCCTGCGCCAGGTCCGTAAGCTTGTTTCATCATATTCAACTTGTTACTCTAGTAACTTTTACTGGTATGGTTACATTACAAAATATGCATCATAATATTTGTCTTGTTATTAATTGGTTTTCTCTTTTGCTTTTTCTGCTTATACATTTATATAAGGAGTAATCCATGCCATTCCAACTTCTATTTCTTTTACTTCTGCAGATACGATTTGCCAGTGTAGATATGGAACTTCATACAACTTATGATCCCAATGGCTCACTGTCCATATATGATGTTGACCGAAGAGTTGCAGAACGAACACAAGTTCTTGCTCCTCTGCCGGAGGACAGATTCCTGTGCAGCTTTAGCCATATTTTTGCAGGTTTGCACCACTCGGTATAGATCATATAAATTCTGTCAAGTTCATGACAGAATGACCTCTCATTTCATTTATGGGCAATTGCAGGTGGCTATGCTGCTGGATACTACAGTTACAAGGTAGGTTGTTTTGCTTTGAATGCCCTTCTGTCCTGACTTTATATTCCTTGAGGGTATGGTAATGCTAATATCATGTCATGCCCTTGATTCAGTGGGCTGAAGTATTATCAGCTGATGCATTCTCAGCTTTTGAAGATGCTGGTTTGGATAATGAGAAGGTACGCTTTTCACCGAAAAATAGATTAGGATTGTTTCTGTACAACGAAGGAGGGTCAACATTTCTTTTGTCCCATTTGCCAATGGCATCAGTAAATTATAATATTTCGAATTCCTGTTTTGTAGGCAATTGAGGAAACTGGCAGACGGTTCAGAGATACTGTTCTTGCGCTTGGAGGTGGAAAATCTCCGCTTGAGGTAATGGCTTCTTGTAATCTCTTGGGCTGCTTTCATAGCATTGTTTTGCATCAAGGCATTCTTATTATACGGTTGCTAAAATAGAATTGTGATCTGTATTTTAAAGTGTGAGTGTAGTCGCCATATGATTTGGGATACAAATTTGTTTTTGGGTTCTTTGAGTTGCTGGGAGCCAAACTAATGCTCGCCACTGGCTGCAGGTGTTTGTTTCATTCCGAGGACGGGAGCCTTCACCTGAACCACTTCTTAGGCACAACGGCTTGCTTCCTGTTGCTGCGTAGTGCTCACCAGCATTCAAAGATTTCTCTGGGGCGTCGACCGAAAAGATTGCCGTGCCAATTAGGCTGTTATTTATGCTTAAACAGGGACCGTTTGTAGTGGTTACAAGTATTCAGCCTGTTCGGCAGCCCTAAATTGGCAGGCTGGAGCTGGGGCTAGACCAGCCAGCCCAGCCAGCCAATTCCAGCAGTCAGCCATTTCCAGCAGTTTAAAACAGCTGATTGCACAATTTCAAATTCAAACTGATTATTGGCGCCAACAGGTGGTTTCCATATAATGACGCTAAACCATAATGCACATAAGGTTGTTTACAACACATTTGTAATCCGCAATTCACAGTTAAACAAGTTACAGGTTCAACCAACAATTAACAGTCTATTTGTTTCATCTATACAACACAAAGATTATACACTACAAATACCACAGTAAACATATATGCAGCACAAACATTGTGGCCTTCATGATTTCACTAACCAAAATGCACACATACCTGCATGTGCACATACACCACCTGCCTTTGAGCTGCTGGCTGTACACAGCAGAGGCAGCTACACAGCAGCAGGGCAAAAACAAGCCGTCATCACAAAATGGACCGTGAATCTGAGCTTCTTTGTGCGTGGCTCCAGTTGCCGGTAAAGCCCCTCCGTGATTTGCTTTATATTTCAGGCAAGCAGGTAGTTCCAGTTAAGTTTTAGAAAAAATTGGCATGGATTCAAGAACAGATACTATATTTTTCATCATACTGTATGTAGTAAAGATATAATTTCCATTAAGCTAAGCAATGTGAGCCTAACTAATGTCTCGCAAATCTGGCCACAGCAATGGAAAGTCCATGTACAGCTGTAAACCTTTGGAAATCCTACGGAAATGCAGACTAATTGGGAAGTGTGAACACAAATATGTATTTTCTCATGCAAAATACTTTTTAGAAGTTAAACTTAGTTTGAGATGTAACATTTTCAAGAAGAAACAACAAAACATTTCAACTTTTTCCTTTTTCAATGTGCTACTAAGTACTGTAAACAGTAGGCAGATATATAGGAAGTAGCTGCATTACCTCAACTTTCCTAAATCAGATACCATTCCACACAACCATAGATATCAACTCCCTAACTGCAGAGGTTTGGGTTCCCCGATTTAGCTCAACCCACTCCGGCAGCTCATACGAAGGTGGATCAGCTCCGTACTTAAGTAGACACAAGTAATTTTCTAATGCAAAGCATGAAATGATTATCATAGCCCGCTTCTTCCTCTTGCAGTATGGCACCCCTTTTAGAATATGCCAACGTTCTTTCAAGCCCCCAAACCTCCTTTCGATGACATTTCGCAGCTTCGCATGAATGTAGTTGAATTTTTCCTACCGCTGCAACCAATGCAAATCTACGCCCCTAAAATCGTTTATATGATACCTTGTGTTTATGAAGGGAGTCATGTAACCTGGCATGTCCATGTAACCCGCGTCCGCCAGGTAGTACCGGCCTACAAGAAATGACAATAAATCACCAATTAGTCCTAGTGGATGAGGAAACACAACACAACAGATGCCATTGTGGTTTGTACTCACAACAGAAACACCTAAAGACAACTCTGGACTATGAATGTGGCAAAAAATAAGTAGTCCCAGTTGCATCAAACTAACTTATACTGAGCCAAAAGGTACCAACATTTAGGTATCAACAGAATAATCTTCACCACACATATATTACTGCACAACTAGATAACAGCTTTTCTCCCCTGAGATGCCAACTCTAGCTCCTACTGTATGTAGAAATGTACTGATCTTAACAACAGTATTCAATCTGCAATCAATTCCTAGGATGTCATAAGGTATCGTGGAAACAATTTTCCTTCGAATACTGTTATACTAAATCAATGAGATGTTTGCAATTTGTTTGTTTTTTAAAAATAAAATAAAAAAGGAGTGTTGAAATATTTGTTGTCAACTGACCAAAATCCAACCAACAGGTCCTAGCTACAGATAGAGTTTGGATAACAAGGCTATGAATCCAAAGTGCATATGTATATCATATATCAATCAATCTTAGCATTTCATCTAATCGTCTCAGGCAATACATGATAAGAACAAACAACAAGCAATCAAGGTCCTTGTAACCTATGCAAGCATTGTCATACACAAAGCTATATTTAAGCACTGCCAAGTAAAAATCAGTGACAACATGACAGAATTTTTTTTGCCAGACATCACGAACCTGCTGTGAGATGCGGGAACCAACCGTCGTCCTGACAGTCTTTCAACACCGCCATGTCATGACATGCCCCCGCCTTCCCAGCCCCCACGTATGTGAAACGACCATCCATATCCACGATGGCACAAACATTAATTATTGCTTCGCCTTTCCTATTGAAGAAATCAGCCTTTGCTTCACGGTTAACCTCAACCTTTATGTGTGTGCCATCTATAGCACCTATGCATCCATCAAACCATGGTGCATATGCAGCAAGTTTCTGGCTTACGCGTGCGTACTTCCTATCTGCGGGCACTAGGACGGTCTTTGCCTACCTATACATGACCTCTGCAACTGCTGTTAACTTTCTGCTAATTGTATCTAAAGACCTTTCAAACCTATGTTTGCACTCTCTACTGGTAGATTGGTGGGCACAGGATCCAGATGTACATGCCTAAAGCTTCTACCGAGGTACACTTATCTATTGATGGCAGGTCGAAAGGAAGCAGGGTGTCATGCAAATGCATGAAGGCATCACGCGTCATGCGTAAATTGTCTATACATTTGGTTTGGTCGGCAAGGGTAAGTTGCATCCATTAGGCTCCAGATAGTTTAGGAATGGGACAAGAAGGATTTACCTCAGGCATTTGCTGTGACATAATACCTTTCAACCTCCGCAGCACGATTGCTGCCTTCGCCAAGATCACAGTGCTCGGTCCATCACTGGAAGTGTCGCTGTACGACGACTCGTCAGTGCTGCTCATTGTGCTACTTGCAAATGGGCACAAATCAGTAAGGTGTTGATGCATATATTAGGAACAAAACATTTGCTAATAAGTGAACATGTCAAGTTACCTGAACTAGGTAGTTGGCACGACCACCTTAGACAAATGTATGTAAGGAATGAACAACAGAAAAGTGATCCATGCATAAGGTCTTACAACACTCACAGCACGACACATGTATTTTATTCAAAACATGAGACAACGACATGCACTTAGTTCTCCGCAATGGTCTTTATTAAAACAAACAAAACGAACATAACGAAACAATGAACAGAATCAACTCAACATGCACATGGTGGAAAACAGAAACAGTAGAAAAAAACCACAGTACGAACAATAGTGCTGATCACTGGGACTTTGTGGAGCACACGAAGTCCCACGACACATTGACCCAGTTCAGCCGACCCTCTTTAGTTTCCAAAGTAAGAAAAGCCCGACGACAGAGCCTATTATTGCAAAGGTTAAGGGCTTGCGCGAATACTACATCAGTCTCGCTGATAACCATCTTGCTTCAGAATCTGATGGACTTGGGCCAACTCCTCAGCATCTGTGGCCTGACGGGCCTTCTGGGACCTAGCCTCCCTGATAATGTGGCTCAGGTCTTCAAGGCAGTCATCAATGGATGGAGTCTTGCTACTCTTCTTACTGCGAGGACTGTTAATAGAATGTTCCCTATGGACTCTCTTCGAGGGCTGAGCACCACTATGCGGTAGGACCGGCTCGTCCGACAAGGCCAGAGGAGTGCGAGGGCTTCCACTACTGGGTGTCTTGTCAGGTTGATGGCCCCCGCCAATACCAACTCGCCCCTATCACGTGGGGTGCGTCCCAAAATTGTGATCAGTTGCTCACAGCATTGGGGGCGTCTGAACTTGTCACGAGCGGGTTAGCTACTTTCCTGCACGTGTTCCAGTGATGGCGAAGTTAGTACTGAGTTAGTGGGAACCTAATTGCTAAAAAATAGTCAAGGAAATGCGTGTAGTTAGTACCCCGGGGTTGGCGCCGTACCACTCGGGGTCAGCTGTAACCTCTCCAGTAAGCGGGTCACGGCCTAGCCTAGTATGGGTCTGACCGTCATGCCAATTGAAATACAAACGTTTTAGCTCGTTGTACTTGTTCTGGCACTTTTTCTTGTTGTACCCGAGCTTCGTGACTTCGTTGAAGCCACGAACGACATTGGTCCACCCTAGTGAGGTTGGCTAAGTGGCGTTCCAGTGACAGAGGTCTTTCTGCTTGTTGATTAGGTCAAGAAGCAGAGAGCAGGTTCTGTCATCCCAGCTAGCACGTTCCTGGCTCATCTGATGCAAGGATCGACATTCGAAGGGATTATGTATATGGATGCATATCTTATGTCATACGGAGGGTAGTTCCAGTACGCAAAGATGAGAGTGGGCGACGAAAAAGAGAACTTGCCTTTCCGAACCGCTTGCGGCGTTTTGAGCGGAGGTTGTAATGCCTGCCAGCAGGTGGAGAGCAAGACGAAGTCGACGACGCTGCCAGTTTGGGCAGCGTTGATCACCAGCGGATGAAACGTCCCTGAAATCTCTGTAGTGTAAACATAGAGCATACTTGTAAGATGTTCAATTAAGCAGTGTTGACGCAGCTTATAAAGTTATAGTAGCCTATAGAATGGGTGCAGTTGAAGGATACAAGCTAAATGGGTTATACTGACAAAACTATAATGCATGCATATGGCAGAGAAACCAATAGCCCCTGCTATTAGTGCAAGAAGGGTCACCAGGAATAACTACGATAACAGATAACTTCTCATATTGCATACTGTGAACACGCATTTGTAGGCATACAAACATGTGAGATCACCAGGATTGCATGCATGTATTCATGTGAAAACCCCTAGTACCAACAAATCAACAGGTAATGGACAAACCCCTAGTACCAACAAATCAACAGCTCTTAGTGGCTGAAAACTCTCCATTCCAGGTACACTACAAACACACTGGTACTCAAGTAAAAACAACCTGGAATCTGAAGTAATAGATGAAGCATTTGAAGCCAAAACATAACACTGGAACA